AGAGAGAGAGAGAGAGAGAGAGAGAGAGAGAGAGAGAGAGAGAGAGAGAGAGAGACAGGGGGAAACTGCGGAGAACCGCGAGAGTCGAAACTTCTAGCCTTAAGCAATCCCTACCCCTCCACCGAATCGTCAATCCCCCGCCCTTGACCACCCACCCGGCGACTCCCTTTCTCCCTTTAAGGTGGTTCCGTGTTTTGCCGGGTGCCCGAAGAGAACATCGAAAATCCTCTACACGCCTCGATTCCGTGTAACCGCATTTGCATCGCCACCGATGACCCATATTCACATTCTTCTCGGTGATATACAGCAACAGCGATCCCTCAGTGTTGCGTCTTCCCTGTCCCTCTCTCTCCCTCCCCCTAGTTCCCTCTCGAACGGTCCGTTCCCGTCTCCTGTCGTCTCACGGTACCGCGCGCTACCGCCTAGCCTCCTCGTTCCCTCTCACTCGCGCCCGCGATTTTTCGACTGGCGCGCATCGGTGGACCCTCCCGCACGGCGACCGCGCGTACCCTGGCCCGGTCGCACCGCGAACGACGACAGTCACGCGCGATTCGTTCATATGCCGATGCGCGATGCAAGCCGGTGACTCGATTTCGGCCGGCGAGTGCGTATAGTCAGTCGTCTATTTGGTGCTCACGCAACCGATGCGTCACTGGTCCCGGACGCACAGCGGGATCGGCCGGGAGTTTTCGAGACTTTTTTACTCTTTCACACGGGTTTTTAGACACTCTTGGTGATAGCAATCGATATCGGTGATACAACGCACTGTGGATACTGCACGCGGATTATAGGACACGTGCGCATGGTTTCTGCATGACTCTGTAACTTCTTCTGTTCTTTTTTCTCTCCTTCCGGTAATTGGATGGCGTGTCCATCCGTGACGCAAAACAGAGACTAAAGTGCATTTCGAAGTAGCGTAGCCGGTTATCGTTGTTGACGGTAGTGGAAGTCCGTGAATGAAGTTAAAACGGCTGTTCCGCTTGTACTCGTTGACACGCCCCTGCCATCGTTAAGGTCTTCTTTTCTTCTCGCTCGACATTTTATCGCGGGCGTCGCGGAAATGCGGTGGAATTTTGACATGGCGCGGCCGGCATCGTGCGATCGCGGTTCGTGATTGCCGATAGGCAAGGCACTCGGCGTGCAACCGCGATTCTGAAGAACTGGAATTGTTTATGTTTGATGTTTACCGCGACGACGTAATGCACGCGTGAAGCAACGATTGTTGGACCACACGTTCGATAATTTCTCTGTCACGATAAACATATTACGTACGGAGTCAGTGAAGCGAAAAAGGTATGTCGCGTTTATGAAATATCTCAAAGTTATCAACATCTAACATTCAAAACAGGTGACAGTAATGCGAACTTTTATCGCGTGTTCATTCACGGATCGAGATCTGGATGTAGTATACTCTATCTTCGATTATACAATAGCGAGAATGTAAATGTTTTATATGAAATGTTTCCTTCATATTTAATGACTTGTGAAAAATTTATTGATAATTTTATTAAATTTCTAATTAATTTTTTTTTTAATTTAATTTAATTGCTTCTTAACATCTGCAGATATATTTTTTATACACACACATGCACGCACGCATGCATTTCTCAAAAGAAAAAAAGACAGGTAGATATCGTTATTTATTAAACGCTTTAGATTTGAGGATCTTCTCAAGTATTAAAAAGCAATACGTGATTGAGTAACAGAATAGAATAAGAGAAATTGAAAATACAAATACATAAAATACATAAAATAAAATCACAAAAATAAGGTGAAAATAAACTGTAAAAATAGGAAAAGATAAAAATTGAGAAACAGAATACTGAAAAAGAATTTATTGAATCTTAATACACATTTCTTTAAATAGCACTAAGTAAATGTCTATTTACAATAAATTAATTCTTATTCAATAAGAAAAAATGATAATTAAATCAAATTAATGGTTTCTGTTTAAATATTTACTTACAGATATTCAAATATTTATTATAATTTAGTTTTTTCAGCGTAGGTAACAGCAAGATAACTTATAACGAGAGAGAAAGCCAGATTACAGAAGTCGATAATCGAACTTTCTTTCTGCGCAGCTGGACGAGCAATTGGGCACGAGCGCGATCAAGAAGGTAAATACCCAGGTAGCTGCAAAAGGAGCAGTGAAGGTCACGGAGTTAAGCCTAAGGGTGGCATCATGGACTTTCATCAGCAGCAGTTTTGCCTCAAGTGGAATAGTTTTGGCAGCAATTTAGCAACGACGTTCTCGAATTTATTCAAAAGCGAGAGTCTTACCGATGTCACCCTGTTTTGCGAGGGTAAGTTTCTTCACACGTGAAAGCGTATTATTTTTTCTTCTTACAATCTATACGTATTCTTTTGCGACGTGAACGCGATAAATGAGTTTTTCTATCGAAATAATTCTTCAGTATGATTCGAACAAAAGGAGTTCTATTGGCCGATTCGTTAAATATTATTTCGAGAAATTATGTAGATGTATGTAAAATAATGACTTTGACTCAAAATCAGGATGATTGTTGACTTAAAATAATTTAATAATTTCAATAACTTTTTAATAATTTTAATAATGTAGACAGCGCGCGTGTCGAAATATCTTAATAACATTTTAAGACGTTTTATGTCCTGATTTTGGACATATGTGTTGTCTCATAATTAAAAAAAAAAATTGGATCAAGTTATTTTGACTGGGCCAAAGTTATGTGTAAATTGAGTTATATAACTCAATTTTATGATAAAATAATCGTTGAATATTTCGAAGAGTTATTAGACGTAACGCAAGAATCCGAGTAAAATATTGAAGAATTCGATCGTTCCAAGACCTTGACTCTTTGATCTCGCTTATGCAGGTAGAAGGTCGACGCACAAAAAAACAACTTCGTCGAATTGCATTCGCTCGTAATATTTCTAGCGTCATATGCGCTGCATTTATCAATACGAATCGAATTGAATCTACATAAGCGATGAGAAAGTTGCTTTTTTGCACGAGCATAGGACAATTTCAGGCTTTCACTTTTTCGACATCACTTTCAAACAAGCTTATGAAGGTTCCACCGTTATTTCGATAGTCACTTTTGTGTCGTGCGTGATCGAACGTGTTGACGCGATGCAATTAATGCAGCACCGAACACACAATCGATATAACCTATTTAATAGTGATGTAAATTAATTTGATATTCAATTATTTTCTAATGTAAACGTCACGTTTTACATAAACGGTAATCAAATGCAGCGATGAGTTTTTACGTCACAGTACCGTAAATTGTCATATGCGTAAATCAAACATGATAGACTAAGTCATTCCTAACTCGTTTTCTAACGGAAAAGACCACCATGCCGCAATGATTATCGAATGAATCAGTTCTCTTTCTTTTTTTTCGAAAATTTTTTCGGAATTTTTAGAAGCTCCATAAATTCTCAAAACAGTTATATTGAGAGAAATCATTTCGTGTGTCAATTAAAATTTTAACTAGGACAACAAAGTTTTTGTTACTCTAATCGAATTTGTCGTTGTAACCAAATTTTGGCTATTCTAATCAAACTTTGGTTAGAATACAATTTTTTAATTTCTACGTACAAAATGATTTCTTTCAGTGTATAGTAAGTGTGATTAATGAAAAAACATAATAAAAAAATAAAGATGCATCTGTTGCTAAAAATTAGAACAGAAGAAATGAAAAAATACTCGTATGATTCATGTGACAAAAATATATTCACGGAAAAAGAAAATTGGTAAAAATTATTTGGCATAATAACAAAACCTTTACCACTAAAATCGCGGATTAAATTAATCCAATCGCTTCAAGATAAATTTGGCTTTCTACGAGGGAGGATTGACACATAAAAGTAAATTTACATATAATTAATTAGAATTTATTTATGAAAAGTCACAAAAAGTTAAACTCTACATGTAAATCCAAATTAACTGGAAAACGAAAAGCTATCAGATGAGTAAAAAAATGGCACAGACATGATTCTAATGCCATTAAACAGTTCATACAACGTAACAGAAAACCGATCAAATATTTTACCCTAGCTATTTTGCACTTTATAAATCGCGTCTGATCAAACGCGAGTCGCGACTCCTTGCGCGAAAGGGCCAACTGGCGGCGCGTTGCATTCGCACGCTACCACTTCGTCGGCAAGTGGTACAAGTTCGCGGCTGCATAGGAAGTGCAGGGGGTAAACGATTGGACCGGCTCCCTACCCTCGATAGCCACCCAATCGGCAGCGCGCAGAGTCAGTGCGGCGTGCACGTGTGAGTCTCGGTTCTTGCACATCGTCGTGGTGTACGGATGCAGTGTATACACATGCACGTGCACACGCGAATTTCCGTGTGCGTCTTCCCCACCGACGCAGCGAGTGCAGCGGGTGCTCTTGCGGCCCGTTCGCGCGAAACCGCAGTTCGCACCGAGCAGCGGTGCAACGCGCTTGTTTTAGCATTCTGATCGCGCGGGGTTCGTCAATCGTGTGAACGATCGATATTTTCAACAAGTGATTGGTATTGAAATTGCAATAAATAATGAATTCGATTGCACACAATAATGGACGCACAAAGCACACCTATCATAAACAAGTTAAAATGGATTCCGGAATTATTTAATTTTCTTTAAAAAATAGAATAGAAATAGGAAAATAATTCCGATCGGAATTCATTTTGAATGACTTCATAATATCCTGGTGCATATTAAAGTCGTTGTACACTGATTTAATCTGAGCGTAAAAGTGAAATGCAAATAGTCGAAATCTAAAGTTATATATAAATATAGTTCGAAATATAAAGTATAAAAATAGGCAACACAATAAAGTGTATTGAGAATCACGGTTTCACGGTTTATAATCAATTTTTATGTTTGTAATAAACACATATCTTTACATCAATTTATGTACGACTTTAAATATATGCAATGCGCACTGAGTGCGTCCTATCGAATTCGATGATAGCCTCATCGCCTAGAGTGCGATAAATGAGATATGTATTCGATGATGTCTTTAAAAGGGTAAACAAATATCGTAGAAATCGCGCAATCGAGGAACTTTTCGTCAGCTCGAAATGACGTAAATACGCGTTATTGCAATCCACGCAATAATTACGTCCGCGTATACGTATTACGGTGCATACGAGTGAATCGAAATTGCGCGACGTCAATAAAATTCGAGAACTTATCAGAGAAAGTGTGCGATAACGTGCGTATATACTTGAAGCTAAGTGTCAATATATGAAACTAGATATTCGCTGCTTTATCGTTCACGCTGAATAAACAAGAATGTGCAATTTTCGGCAAACGTTCTTACGTTCCGTGCTTTTTCGACGCGGCCAGCTAATGCAAGACGTAATATGTGTGCGATAACGTATGTGTATTTAAGATTTAAGTGTGTATTTAAAGATTCTTCAGTGTTCCTCTAAGTGCGCGGCGTGTGAAGTCGAGTTCCAATCGATCAACTAATCTTCATTGCATGACCGTAGAATTGATCAAGTTAATTGACTAGTTGGTTCACCACTTGTCGCGCGAATTTTTTTTTATTACAAATATCTTCGTAGATATTCAGTGATTGATAAAGCTGAATCATCTCGATATTCTGGTTATCATCGAACTTTCAAATGCAATTTCGATGATAGTGTTGTTACAGACTTAATAACAGGAGATTTAATAACATTGTAAGTAACACCATCAGAAATATGCGTCTCTTCGTTACTGTTATTATATTTCCTAAACTTGTATACATAAAAGGACAGGATTTTATTAAGAAATTTGATCTATTATTTTTATATCGCTCATTACTTATTTACATCAGTCATTCATCTTAATTGATAAAGATAAACGGTCTTAATAGAGCACGTGCAGTACATAATCGGCAAAACATCCAACGAGCTAAACATTTCGTCGAGTAAACACTAATTTATCACGTACACTGGTTTCATATCTATCTAACATACAAGCCGGATAAGTATACCGCATAAAAATGATAATACTATCTCTTGCAGTTAGGTCATAAATATACGAATTTATAACGAAGTCAATCAAGAAATAAGTTACCTTCTTATATTTTCCTATTTTACTGCAAATTCGCGTTGTATGTATTGTAAAGCTAGTGTTTCTTTGTCAAAATCATGATTATTAAATCATTCATATTAAAAAAAAAGTAATATTCAAAAATTTGCATTCTCCCTCCCCCTTTTTCTCTCTCGTTGGACTTTTTCTCAATAGAGGATTAAGGAACAATGAAATCGAAGTCTGACGAAATCGAAGTTAAAGTTCATGGATATCGATTTGCGATAACCTTCAGTGACCGCCCTCCGCTTCTGAGGCCGCATTTCCGAGACTCTCCGTTGTTTCGTCGTTGATATTAATTTCGCCGCATGTGCAACCGGTATACTGTTACCGCCTAGAGACGATCCGTTATTCAATTCTCGTTTAACGCTTTCACCTTATAAACCTTTCACCTTATAACCGCGTGCGTGCTCTGATTTACGAAAACCGCAGCTATAGAGAATGAGAGTAAAGTCAGACAGAGAACGCAATTAATCAATATGAGCGGTCCCTTCGAACCTCAAATATCTTCACAAAAAGAACGATTCTGCTAAAATATTTAAAAATTTAGCTAGCGGTATGTGGCATACCTGGCTTTTTCAATGCCTTTCGAATTCTTTTTTCATTGCTTGTATAACTTTTTTTTATTAATAAAGATGTAAATCTTTTCGAACTGTTATGTTTTTCAGCTTCGATTGAAAAATTTTTTACAATATGTTCATTTTTATGAAAGTCATAAGTCATATTGAATTGGGTATACCATAATGCAATGTGTTGAAAGGTTGAATATAGAAATATTATCTGAAGATAATTTTATTGAACCATCAAAATAATTATACAGGATACTCAAGCATAACAATACTGTAAATACAATAAAAAAATTTTAACATTCTAACGATTAGCTTAGGCGTCCTACAGAATTATTTTAAATAATCTAACAAAATTCTATATCTAGCTAAATTTTTAGATATTTTAGTAAAACTGTTCTTTTCATGAAAGAGATATGTTATTTTTCATTCTTCGTACGAAAGGATTATCAAATGATTTTCTTTTCATATTCAATATCATTTTTAAACGTCGCTGTATCGCGTAACATATATATACGAAACTGTAAGATTCTTTCTCAGAAGGTCAAAGGGTGAAAATTTGAAAGGAAGCCAGGCGAGTGGGAAGGGTTCAAGGACGAGAAGCAGTCGAAGATAGGGAAAGGAGTAATGCGTCAAGTCGTGGCGTCACGAAGAACGTTGGCCAACTACCGAGGGGTTTTGTGGGCGCACGCGCACGCTCGCGTTAGTGTGTGCACCCGCAAGTGCGTGTATGTATCTCGTAAGAAGCCCGAAAAGTAGGTCTTGGTTACAGTTAGATCTAACCGTCCTCTCTTCGTGCTTGTCCCGGTACACGCAAGACGAGCATGCGCTACAAACGCACCATCTCGAAATGTACTGGTTTCTCCTTGAGAACCATGACTCTCGATCGCAATCAAGATCGTGCGTACGTTTGGAATTCACGAAAAAAAAGCGACGAACGATATCCCAGAGATGTGACAGATAAAGGTAATCTCTACGATCCATCGATCGATCGGTTGGATCTATTTTCCGCAAGGACGACGCGTTAAATTGTTTTGTGATATCGATTTGCAACTAACATGCGATACATATCCTTATCAGAAATAATCTTATATAAATAGATAAAAAAAATTCTATATACACACGCATGCAATTCTATTTTTTTTTCATAAGTGTTTAAGTGATTGTAAATATATAGAGCCATATTTTTAAAAATTACAGCCTTGACCATAAGTATAAAAAGTATCATCAATTTATATTGCATTCTCTTGGAAAAGGTAGCAATAAAAATCAAAGAAAGTTTAAAAATATTGAAATTATTATAAAAATAAGTATAATTTTTTAAATAAAACTTTTTAATTTATTTCTTGTTAGATATAGAAACAATTTGTTCCATTTATATTTGTGACCAACACTGTTAAATCTATAGTGTCAAATTTAACTTAATGTGAATCATCACTGCTCCTACTCAATCATGTCATTATTTTATACTAAAACAATGATTATATTTGACATTATATAGTATCAATTTGATACTGTATCGTGTCAAGTTGACACGACATAGCGTCAAATATAATTATCATTTTAGTAAAAAGTAACGACATATTTAGTAGGCGACTCACATTAGGTTAAATTTGACACTACAGATTTAACAGTGAAGGCTGCATATTATCTCAAATTTGATTATATAGAATAGATTAGAGCCTAATGAATACACACAAAATCAACATTAAATTAACGAAAACGCTCTCTGATAGGCATTAGAAACTATTATTAATCAAAGCCAAAATATTCGGACGTATGCTGTGCACGTACTGTTTGCCAAAATATTAGCATACGGCATCTCAAATTGGTGCTAAGAGGAAGCACAAAAGTCGGAAGTAGTACATCGGCGTATCGAAAAGAGGAGGGCAATCACCTATATACGCTAATTAGCATGAATCTTTAATAAATCGACATCACCGAGCAATTATATATTCATATTTTTCGATTCAAGCTAGACATTAACGTATACTATCAGAAAAGCTACTCCAAGGTAACCACGTTCGTTTCCCCTCGAACGCGGGATATCGATCGAGACGTCGATAGGCGCCAATCGGCCCAGACACTATCGGGCACTATTTGGCTGTGCGGAGCAGCACGTAGCGTGTATACGTACGTACGTACGTACGTGCGTGCGTGCGTGCGTGCGTGCGTGCGTGCGTGCGTGCGTGCGTGCGTGCGTGCGTGCGTGCGTGCGTGCGTATTTGTCCGTGCACGATGTTGTCCATGACTTGCTGCGATATCTAACGAACTTTACGTAGCGTGTTGAATTTAGGGCTACAGAGTCATATATTTGTCTCCATACATACATCTATCAGACGCACTGGAACGTGTGTGTCGCATATATATATGTGTGTGTGTATGTATGCGATGACTTCGATGTTAGACAAAGGCGCGCGTGCTGTTTCGCAAGTAGCTTAACTGTTTGAAATCCCTGCTGGGAAGATCGTACGGCGTACGAACGACCGCGAACATATGCAAACGACGGTGAGATTCGTCGGATTCAAATTAGAATTCTAGCGTATAACTCACGCACGATCGCTGCGTTCGCGTCTATGCGTGCCACGCATCGCACGTTACGGCATCCGCAGTATAAAGCGACACATGGAACATTAGAAACGGCACACACATACCGTTCGCCCTCGTATTTGAATGCGGCTGCCCTTCGCGTTAGCGTAATAGATAGCGTATAAGCGTAATAGGTGCGAGAAGCCACATTGCTACGCCATGAAATATCTTCACGTGTCACAGTTTACTTTAAGTATTACACTTATCTGGTGTTACCTAATATAAATCAGAGTTTCTGCGAGATTTCGAGGCTTGCCATGATAATTGTTTATTCACATTCTTTATGATTTTCAACAATTTATCATTGTAGTAATGAATTGTACGTTGCTCTTTTGATTATGTGATTATTATTTATATATTCGATGATTTGGTGTTAAGAAAATATTTTTTTGTTCTTGAAAAAAAATTCAGAGCATTTAGCTAGTTGTAGCATTCATATATAAATATGTAAAATTATATATTCAGATTATTAATCTTTAAATGAGTAGATGGTTATTATAATGGGATAGTTATTATAGTATCTCAGATATAATTTTTTTAAATCGTTTTCTGGAAATGAAAAATAAGAAGTATTGCTCAGTTATCTAGAAATCTTAAAGTTCATTATTTTTATATTCCTTCATTTTATAAGGATAATA